GCGAGTCTGACGGGGACGATAGGGTGTACAGTCGTATTTCTGGGGCACTACTAGATCACTTTCGGGAGAAACGCTACGGGGAGGCCTCACTCAGGGCACCGAGAAAGAAAAAGATCTGTGTCTCTTCTGGCAAGAGCATTTCTGATGCAGTAATCACCAACCAGGGTCCTACCCCTGGCACAAGTGAGACGACACGCTCGGATGAGGAGGATGAGCCACAGGAAATGGCTGCAGCAGGTGATGACTAAATCCGGGATTAATTCGCAAGCGGCGCTTGACATTTTTTTATTGTTTAATTTTAATGTCTGCGTTTATTATTTTTTAAGGAAATGCACCGGACTTTCGAGACCCAGCGCCAGGAGACTGGGTTCTACTGAAAGAGATGGTGAAGAGGCAGTGGAAGTACTCGGTGGGACAGATCCTAGTCGTTGAAAATAATCTTCTGTCGTGCAAAGTGGCTCGATGGGAATCTGGCAACATATTTCTAGTGCCCCCAAATTTTAAAAGAGTTAGTGTGGACTATGACAACATTGTTCGGACGCTTCACAGTCCGAACATTGTCATTAAAAATCAAAACAAACTTTTGTTAAAGTTCAATAAGGAGAACTTTGCACAATATAAATTTATATAATGATGTCCTAGTGACCATATTTAGATGAACTGTCGAGAAGTGGCGCAGATTCTAGTCTTTTTGTTTTTTCTGACTGAAGTTTCCTTTTTTTTCTAGTCATTTATATGTTTAGGCGCAACATGAACTTTGTTTTTCGATGATGTGAGAATTAAACTATAGTTCTCTACTGTATTTCCACTTTTTCCCGCCCCAAACCATAAAACTTCGACCTGAATGTCATTTAAGTGAATGTGCTTAACGGTCAACACAGCTAGTTTCGCTCTCTAAACCTAGATAATCGAAGTACATGTTCTGGCGCACGAACCCAACGTGGTCGGAGTATGCACCGGTACTCTTGGGATGCCCAAGAAGATCATTAGACACTGCTCTCAGATCGAGAATACCGTAAAATAACTAGTGTCCGGATTAACCCCAACTTCAGGTTTAAATCCGGACACACTTCAAGTGACTCTCGCAAGAGCACGGGCAGAGCAAAAAAATCGTCCACAGGTGAAAAATACGCGTTTGGATGCCTAATTTCTAGATTCCGCTGGAATTTACCATATCTTTCAGCAATCAAAAGAACTAGAGAAAAAACGGGGAAAAACGTCCGGAATTTGACACTTTGACGGTACAGGGTTATGGAGGACCCTGTTTTCAAAATGCACTTTAGAATGAGGAAACAAACATTTGAGGTAAGTATCCTCCTCACAATGACATAACGTCCTGTTGTGCTGGTAAATATGATTGTCTAAGCTGTTGGTTTTCTTTCCTGTAGGCATTGCTGCGTGAGCTTGCTTTCTTTCTTTACGACACTGGGAAAGTCCAGCGGGTGAGGAACAGGCTTGACATCCCGCTCTTAATGGTCTTGTGGATCTTAGCTACACCAGACTCGTTTAGAAGCGTTGCTTTAAGATTTGGTGTTCGGCCAGGCTCTGTTCACGACAACTATTCTTTCATAATCGAGGCCTTTAGGAACATGGCACCCCAGTACATTATGTGGCCAGATCGACAGGAGAGAGCAATGATCAAGGAGAGGTTCTATCAGTACTCGAAAGTGCCAGAATTGTAGGTGCCATAGACGGCACCTACCAGAATGTTACTGCTCCCCTGGTGCATTCCCAGACATACATCAATCGTCATCATCAGTACTCGTTCAATTCAATGGTTGTTGCGGATGACAACCTACTGATCAGAGACCTTCACTTGGGAGAGGTGGGGAGCATGCATGACGCCAGGGTCTTCAGGCGCAGCCCACTGTACATGAAGCTTCTTCAAGATGACAATGAAGAATATTTGTCAGAAGATGAGCATATAGTAGGTGACGGTGCCTACGGAGTAACAAATTTTGTAAGTATTGCTGGGAATATTGCAAGTGGCTGAAATGTTATGTTTCAGTTGGCAGTTCTCTCACAGATTGTTCGATTCCATTGCAGCTTATGTGTCCGTTTAGAAATGTGGGCCGCCTAACAGAAGAACAGACAGAGTGTAACAAACAATTGTCTCGCTGCAGGGTACGCATAGAGCACACTTTTGGAAAGGCCTTTGGTCAGTGGCGTCGAATGAAGATGTTGGAATGCTCTCATATTGATTTGGCCATTGATCACTTCACAGCAAGTTATGTTCTTCATAATTTCATGATTTTGAATGGGGAACGAATGATGGTAATGTACATCTCAGCTTTTTCCGATAAGCCATCAGATATGTCAAGAATCCCTGTTATTTGATGATTTCCATTGTTAAAGGACCTTGACCAGCCAGACCAGTTTTTACCTTTGCTTGAAGAGAATAGAAATGTGAACGCAGGTGAAGAAGAGGCTCTGGATGATGAGGTACTCAGAATGCTGGAAAATAGAGCCAAACGTCTTGGGGAGCAGAAAAGAATGAGGTTGGTCAACCAATTGTAATACTTTTGTCTTGGGATAGATTTGCAACTGTTTACGTACACGATTGCCCCTGTGATAAATATTAATCATTTAGTGAAAATTCTATTAAGTAATTGTGAAAAGTCTTGGGGGGACAGAAAAGGATGTGGTTGGTCAACCTATTGTAATATTTGTCTTAGGATAATTTTGCAACTGTGTGTAAAAGATTGCCTCTGTGATGTGATAAAAATCTAATCTAATCTAGCGAAGATTGTATTAACTAGCTGTGATCTTATGTCAATTATGCTACAAGAATGCTTCTGTGATAAATGTGATAAATTAAAGCTTGAATATTTTTGCCAATCAATAAAACTAATACTGTATTTCAAATATGATAATTTATTACAATCCTGTGATAATGAACATGAAGAACACCTTACTAAAAAACTAGAAATCTTACCACAGCTAAATAATATTACATAAGGTACACATTGTGTCAAAACAACACTCTTTGGTGACTACGTAAAATTACAATGATTCTAGTTGCAGCACATTTAACAATTACATGGTAACACTTAATGAGATCACAAATTAAACGATGGCAGGTGGAGAGTTCATTACTCAGGAGGTAGCCACAACATTCTATCACATGCATCTTGGAGGGCATTTAAGCCAAGAACAAACTTTCACTTGCCTGGATATTTCACCTGAGTAAACTGAACTCGTAGAAATCGTATGTTTATTGATAATATCACAGTCATGTGATAATCAAAACATGGTGTTACAAAAGGAACTAGAAATCTTGGCATAGCTAAATGACGTAACACATGACACAGAATGATTCTGGTTGAAGCACGCAATCACACGGTAACTAAAAACTTAATGAGATCACAAATTAAATGATAGTAAGTGGTGATAAAGGTGACAGAAACATTCTCCTATCACGTATTTCTTGGAGGACATTTATGCCGATAGCAGCCTGCCTCTCTCTTGACTGCATATTCTGCCTGAGCAAACTGAACTCAGATACAAATTGAGCCTCAAGAAGAAGTCTCTCCTGCTGCAGCTGTAAGGCACGGTTTTGATGACCCAGTACTCCTCTTGGCTCTTGTGTTGGACCCATAAGTCGTGATACCCTCTGCTGTCGATTTGAGGTAGGGGGTCTTTTCCTTGTGGTTCTTGCTGAAGCTTCTGGTTGACAACCATTTCTCACAAGCTTATTTTGAGCACCCACAGAAACAGTGACTGGTGGGTTCAGGCCAGGATTGTCTTCCCCTTCGTAGGTCAAGAAGAGTTGATAAAGATCATCAGTAAACCCTCCTCGACCAGTCTTCTGTTGCTGATCAAATTTGGTTTTAAACATTGTCTTCAATTTCTCAATTCTTTTCTTCACTTCATTCATGCTCATTAGTATTTGGCTCTGTTGTAAGTTGGAAGCAACATGAAAATATACCATATCATTTCGCAATATTTGAGGGTTATTAGCCTTGACCTCAAAATATTCTTGAACAATGAGTATGTCATTATCTTCCCAATGCCAACCAACTGTAACAATAAAATGAAATTGTAGAACACTACCAAACATTGTTATAAAATTGTGGGAAGGTAATGAGGCTCACCAGTATCTTCTCTTCTAGGAGTGAGCATGTTGACATTAAAAGGAGCCTCTCTTGTACCAACAGTCAACCGGTTGGTGCTGACTGTGGTCTTGGGAGTACTATCAGTCGACTTCTTGGCACTGACTGTGGGGTTGATAATACTGGTAGTCAACTTGGAATTCTCAAAGGCATCATCCAGAAGATGATCTGCAAAAAAAAAGAAGAAAAAAAAAAGAAAAAGAAATTCACAGCATAAATTAATGGTGGCAATGCATGCTGGTGAAATGTGGCACCAATGTGCTAATAGTACATACCATTCAACCCTTCAGGAGTCACGTGTTGTGACTTAGACTGTTCAGTGTTGTTATCTAAGAAGAACAGAAAAGAATTTAAAATTGCTAATTGGTAAATGGATTTTAAGAAATTGAAAAGCACTGGTCATGTGAACCAGTGCAAATGGTTAAACAAAAGTGTCATCACATACCATTCATCAACACGGGAGTCACAGGGCGCATTTCCTCATTCACATCTGGAGACATACTCTGTTCAGCAATGTTTTCTAAGTAGAAGAGAATGATTTAAAATTTCTGATTAGTGAAGGAGTTTTAACAAAAAAAAAGCAAGCATAGATCAAGTCAATAAATTACCAGTTGCACATTGCTGAGAGAGTGGAGGGCTCTTTGAGATTTTAGGGACTGACTTAAACCCTTCTGGCCATTGTTTGGCCAGGATAAACTTCATCGCAGTATAAAATGGCCACTGAATTGCCTCCAGGTCATCCGTTTTCCCAACAATTTTATGGTATGTGGACTCCAGCGTCCTCCGCTTGCTGCGGCATTCCTCAGGAGACACATTGAAACCCAATTTCTTCATGTCTGTGCTTACTTGGGACCATGCAGGCGCGTGGCTTTTTTTACTCTTGAAGGAGTTTATATGGGTGCCAATGACGTTAATAAGTGTGTGGACTCCCAGCTCGTCATCCCCCCAACGATATGGGGATGTACTTACAGCTCCTGCAAACAAACATTAACAGTTTAAGTGTCTTGATGTTACTTATCAGTTATTGTTGATAAAAGAAACTCAAAAACATACTTACCACCTGCATGTACCACTTGCAATTCACTGTCATGATGTTTGTTGGATTCTTTTGGCTCTGGCTCTACAATCTTTAACTCGTTGCTGTTATTCCCTTCCTTTGATTTGCGAGGAGTGGATGATGCGGCCTGCATGAGGCATCGCTTCACCGAAGTATTGATTATGAAACTCTCCTTGTTGCCATCATCGAACCCTGCAACCAATAGATGGGTGCATAAGAAAAAAGTACAAGTCTTTAGATTAATGTGTTTAAGAATTGACCAATTACTTGCTTGTCTCATGCAACGCTGGCCACACCTGCTCAGCGTCTGCCTCGTCTATAAAATTTAAAACAAACGTACAGCGGCACAAGTGGCAATTTCTACACATTCAGGAAAGTACTATTCAATACGACCTACCTCCATCAGCAACTGATATGTTGCGAAAGCTACTGTTAAGTGCTTCATCTCCATCCAAATAAATCTCGTCATCTGACAAAGGGTTCTCAACATCGGTAGATAATTGCTCAACCAGAGGCTGAGCGACTTCAGGTTCACTGACACAGCACTTTGCACGATTCTGCTTCTTTTTCTTCTTCACAGGGGATCTGAAATCTGTCGTAAAAAGGATGTCAGAATCGAAAAGTAAACTTAATTTCTTACACATATAACAAATTATGTGGTGAAGCATTTACCGTCATCGACAGTTTCAACAACCGGGACCTCTCCTTTCTTCACCGACTGCAGCAGCCTGTACGTTGCTTTGTGATCTGAGTACAATGGTTTGGAATGTTAACCAAAGACAAATACATTGCAATGAACATGTGTCGCATGAGGTTAAGTGAGAACTTACCCATGTTGTACAGAGCCACTTTGCTCCGCGGCACTTTAACTTTAAACATTTTAAACTTATCGTCGTACAACGTGTAGTCAACTAGAGGATCTGCCATGTCGGAGCAGCACTTGATCCACGGGTCGAAAAGGTTTAAACCGCCAGAGACACACTTATGGCTTTACCATCGGAAGCCGAGTCAAAGAATGAAGAATGCCGCCGGGCCGGCCTTTCTTTCTTCTTGTTTGGTGACTACAGACTGCCTCCTGCCTCTCGCGGCTGCCGCTAGATGGCGCTGAGGCACGGCCCTGCAGCGCGGCTTACGGCACTTACGGGGTTTGAGTTAATTGCATATTTCTGAGTTGTGAACTTCCTCAAGTCCAAAAAAATGATGCTACTTTAGTTCAAAATAAACTTTCATGTCATCAAATGTCAAAATTGTAGTGAAAATCGGGTGAAATCGGGCTTTGCTGTTTGCTGCCTGCTGTCTGCTGCCTGCTTCCCGACTGCTTCCCGCTTAAGCTGATGCAGCCGAACTGGTACAAGCAACTAAATCAAGGGTTTCGAGGCAACCGACGTGAAATCAACGTGGAATCGACGTGTACACGACAGACGAACTTCGACGTGGATTCCACGTCGAATTGACAATATACTGAAATATGGCGTTCAGAACAATGAAAATCCAATTTAGTGAGAAACGTTGATGCAAAAATGGTTTCTTCTGATTTTATTTGCATCTTTTTAGAAAGGTAAATAGTGGTGGATATCTCGTGGATGTATCCACCACCACGAAAGGTCCACGAAACCACGTGGAATCCACGTCTTTTCCACGACCTATTTCTCTCTGGGGCGTGGTAACCTGACCACGAAAAATTAAGTAAATTTTCCAGAGGAGTGGTATAATTTTCTGCTACATGACTTAACCAGTTTTCTTCCCTTTTCCAATACGCCATGGTATTATCCTGGGCAAACATTTGTCGTTGTACATCTTCCCTAGTACGCCTAGCTTGAACACTACAGTAGAGCCGTGACGCGACATTTCGTCCTGGATGTGGCGAACGATTTCCGCAAACGCGATGGCCTCACACATGTGCATTCCGGAGCTGCCTGTCTCTTTTGGAGCGGCTTCATTCGTGCATTTCAGGAGGCACTTATTATGGTAGCGAACTTTCAAGTCTTTCCTTAGTAAGCTGCCCTGTGAAAGAATGCCCTGACGCATGGATCGGGATGTGTCTGTCCTATTTTCACAAGGCGTTCCTCCACCTTTGATGTGGTCAGCTGCACAAGCCGGTTGTTCCAAGCTGGCCCTTCCCCACAGAGTAAGCAGACAGACGGCGCGGCGTCCGGAACAGGAGTCTTGGGGGTACGAGTTCGCTTCCCTAACACGGGTGTCACTGAAGAAGGGGTCGAGGGTTCTTTTTTAACTTTTCTGTTTTCTTTGGTACGCTGGCACTTCGCTCGTGTCAAAGGTTGCCTATTGTACTGCAAGCCGCATGCGTTGTGCCACCTAGTCTTGTTGTGAATGAGCGAGGCTACCAG